ACAATTCAAAAACTTTCAAATGGTAGTTCACAGTTTTTGTTTAATACAGCTGTTTTACTCGGTACAACACAGCCGTGATTATCGTTACCAATAATATTTGCAGAATCTGTCACAGGTGAGAAAAGATGCTCATTTTTGGCCACAGTTGTCCATGATATGTCCCATTAATGTTTTTGGACGTTTGCGAACCCTTAACAGGAGAGAATTAAACAGCACATTTGGTCCGTCAGCATCATGATACTGTTTTTACCTGTGGAATCTTCACCTGGGCAAGCGCTCCTCTGTATAGAGCTGCGCACTTCTCACTTATTAATTCTAACTGGAATAGCGACAAATGTACACCAAGTACAACCCACCATATTTGGCCACACGTCACACACTCACTCACTCACTCACTCACTCACTCACATCTGGCATCAAGTGAGTGAACCTGTGAACATTGGTTGTGGGATAACAGTGACCTCTCGTGGTCATATTTGAAACTACATTTTTGCGCTGTTTTCTCCAGCGGGCGCTCAGTGCTCATGTTTCCCGACGAGAGCAGCCTATCCTCGGCTAGTCTTTCTGACACTTGCCGCTGGCTCTGATGTCTCTGTAGTGGTTAAACCTGTTTTTATAGAGTCTATGGGTTAAACATGAGGTAAAATTCGTTTTGGGTAGCCTATATCTAACAGGTAATCTTTGGTCTCATGAATCTATTATTTCTTGCAGGTCATATCGTTTTGGCTGAGCACAAAGTTATGTTTCATAAATTATTTATTTATTAATCGTAATACAGCGCTGACTTTGTTGCATATGCTTGACTGAATTGTTTGCTTTTGTCTTTATTTCCTATTACATAAGTCTCACTTATACTTTTATAATGGCTATTATTGTTCATTAAAACTGACGTTTAACAAAAAAAGGCAGAGTTGTGCTTGTCATATTTCATTTTATGACACATACAGTGAATATAATCAGAGTATATGTGCACATATTATCTAAACCACATGTTTTATATTTTTTAAATGAAAACGAAAAGAGGGTTGTGTTTTATATTTTGAAGAAAACGAAAAGGCAGTGGTGTTTGATATCATTTCGTTTTATTGTAATGCATGAACCACATTTTTGAGGCTATTAATATTTTAAATGAAACAAAGGAGGCAATGCTGTTTGATATAATATTTCGTTTCACTGTAATGTATGTACGTTCCCTGAGCTACATTTATGCGACTAATAATACCGTATTGTCCCGAATATAAGACGATATTTTTTTCTTGGAAATACATCTGAAAAAACGCGGTCGTCTTATATTCAGGGTCTAGACTTTGACATGTCAATAATACACCCACAACACTAGGTGGCGCCAAATACGCATAAAACGAGTGTGCCATGAAATACGTAATGTAATGCGTGTTGTAAAGATCGCGAGTAAAAACAAAAGAGAAAGAAAACCTTACAGCTGAATGAGTCGTGACTGTCACGTTAGCCTGATGGCACCAAACTCCCTTTGTGATTTTAAAACGTAAGACAGTACCCAGATTTGAAGACTACAGTAAGATTGAACTTCTACTGTTAATAAGATTTTGGTAGGCTACTATTAGATGGATAGCCTAAATGTCCTAATTCAGATGGGCTACCTGTGTTTTTTTTTTTTAATGGTATATCAACAAGTGTATATTTTTTTAATGTGATTGTTGGTACATTTTACCAGTTTTTACCATACTTTCAAAACAAAAATTAAAATAGGAAAAATATGCAATATGAAAATAATTGAAGACAAAATGTGTTTTACTGAGAAAAAACAAGATTTGTTTTTTAAAAAGCCTTTTTCCAAAAGGTACATCTGGAAAAAGGGGGGTCGTCTTATAATCAGGGTCGTCTTATATTCGGGCCAATACGGTATGTTTAAATGAAAACAAAAAGAGGCAGTGGTGTTTGATATCATTTTTCCTCGTATTGTAAATGCATACAGTGTAGATAACCAGAGTAGCCAAGCCGAGCTGACTGATCAAGTACGCTGCTGTTCCATTTGCAGAATTACCGGACTTGTCGAACTTGCGAAGTCCGAACTTTGCGTAGGCTTCTTTGTTATTGAGAAACGGCCCCAGTCCGTTCCTGGCTGCAGTCTATCGATGCGACTCTGGTTGTGACTCAAGCAATTTGGCTGACACGTTGTGGTACAATAATGGATTTTACTCTAAATTAAAAAGCAAAGAATTAAACAGTTTTCCTTTATAAAATGTATTTTATTTCTCTGATCAAAATCCATCTGCCACATATGAACATAATTCCTATTTTATACAGTATAATACAATGTTTCTACAATTCTGAAGAGGGTGGGCCTTTGAGCATGATGATATGTAATTTAACAGACATTTTCACCCAAATTACTGAAAACATAAATTACAGACTAAAGACTAGACTAGCCACATGGATTAAATTAATATGACATGTGGCTAGTCTAGCTGGATAAGATTATTTTTTGTCTTCAATTGCAATTGATCTTGGCAACATCATAGAGATCTCAGATCACCAGGATAACATCATTCAGTAACAGCATTAATTGTACATGTAGAATATACATGTTACTGAGCTTCAAGGGCTAAAAAAATGTCACAAAAATGTACTTTAGATGAATAATGTAAACAATCTAAACGCCATCAGTATCACTCATGCTTGCCATTAATGAAAACGTTTCCTTGAGGTTAAATGTACCCACTATTCACCTATCTTTACCTATTGTACAAACAAATTAATTTGTCCAGAATGCTGTGTTAAAGAATGTCATGTTATGAAATCTTTCATTGTAAGAGTCCTGATACAGGCTTCATTACATGGAAAAACAATCTGACATAATAAATGGCTAAATAAAAAGACAAATGTATTCCAGTTGACATTACACAGCAAATGTAGAGCATGAGCAGCATCCCTAAAGTAACTGCTATGACTACATCCACACATTAGTGTCCATGATATATAAGAAACCACCAAAGATGAGCAGATCACATCCTTGTGGTGACAAAAGAATATAAAGAACCTTAACTACGTCTCTCAGCAAGGGATTAATCATAAATTGTGGAAGAAAATGTATAGGAATAAAACCAAATATTTTATCTTGTGTGCAGTTTGTAGTAAAACTAATTATATAGACCAAAAGCTGTGGTAAATTACAGCATGTCAACACATAGATGGTACACAGACCTATGTAAACCGCACAAGTAAGGCATTAGACAGACAAACATCGGTCCTTTAGTCTCATATTACACCTTTTCTTTCTTAAGGACACTTAAGAATATAAGCAAGTCACCGTCCAGCTGAGAACTGACTTGTTTGCGAATGGATTGAGAGTTGAGGATCGACTTTCAATGAATAACAATTGGCGTTTAGCAACTGTAACATGATTTGCTTTGATCATAAGCTAATCAAATCAAGGTAATATTGATTAAATATGTGAAGGTATAGGTCTCTAAAGGTCTTTTAAATGTTTGTTTCTCAACCCCTCACTTTGCCTAATTCCCAGCCGCTATTAAGCATCATGTTAAATTAGATCAAAGGTAAACATCAAAGCTCTGATAGAGGCTAAACAGCTTGAAAGGTGCACAAGGACATCATATTGGGAATCCCAACCCTCTCTGTGTGTGACACGAGTGAAAACAGGGTTTCTGTATGCACAGCTGAGTCTGACATCGAAAGCCGTACATGACAAAGACAGATGCCCTGTGAACCCCACAGTGCGCACGGCCATATCTATTCCAGTTCCCTAAAAGACCGACACTACATACCTTCAAAAAGTCCACTCATTTTTTGTCAGGTAAACACTTGACATAAAACAGTCAGACAAAAATAAAAGAACTAAAGAGAATACGGTTACTAATTAACGACCACAATCTTGATCTCTACATAGGGTCAGTTTAGGGTTCAGAATTGTGGGGTCAGTGCATTTTTAATAAGAAATGAATAGTTTAATTCAGCAAGGGTGCATTCAATTGATCAAAAGTGACAGTAAAGACATTTATGTCACACATTTTGTCTATTTCAAATAAATGCTGCTCTTGTGAACTTTCTATTCATCACTGCATCATGGTTTCTACAAAAATATTAAGCAGCACAACTGTTTTCAACATTGATAATAATAATAAATGTATCTTGAGCAGCAAATCAGCATATTATAATTATTTCAAAAGGATCATGTGACACTGAGGACTGGAGTAAAGGCCTGTTCACACCAAGGACGATAGCTATAAAGATAACGATAAAGATGTAGTTGTAAAAATCGTTCTGAATATTAAAGAATAGCAGAGTCCACACCACAGCTGTAACGATAAAGGCACAGAGAAACGATATAGTTGGAATCACTTTCAGGACGATTTTTTCCAGTCGATGAATGATATAAACATTGACACCCAATCAGAATCCATCCTGCTATCACAAGCTAGAGCGTGTGCTTCGACTAAACAGACGATATCGTCCGCTGGTGTGGACGCTAATATTGTTATTTTTATAGTTATCATTCTTGGTGTGAACGGGGCTTAACAATGATGAAAATTCAGCTTTGACATCACAGGAATAAATTATTCGTTATTTTAGTTATTTTAAATTGTAATAATATGTAACAACATTACAGTTTTTACTGTATTTCTGCTCAAATAAACGCAGCCTTTGTGAACATAAAAGACTTCTTCCAAAAACATTAAAAATATTACTGAACCCAAACTTTTGAGCGGTAGTGTGGTTAAACAAAACACTGCAAATTATCAACTGTTTTAGGGTCACACACATTAAAAAAAAAAAAAAAAAACAGATCACATCCTCTTTAACTCGACATACTAACCCTGCTCACATGTCCGAAAGTGTTGCAATAGCATTGGCTCTGATAAACTATACCACTTTATCTGTTCTATCACTTTAATAATCAACAATAACTGCAAATCTGTGCAAAACCCCTCTTTTTGTTTAATAACCAAAGATATATGTGGCAGGATTGCTTCATTTTAGCACATTTAGAAAGACCCCATTTAGACATTCAAGATTTAGTTTGTTACAACTCCAGAGTTTTAAAAATCTCACAAAACAGGACAAAAGGTGGTGGGTGCAAGAAGTAAGACAGCAAAGGTCACAAAACAAAACTCCTCTATTGTAGTCGCCCTAAAGCAGGATGACAGGACAATTCTTCAGTTCCGGCTAGTCAAGTGTGGCGGAGGAGAAAGGCTCCGCTTTTTTGGCCAAACCCACAAGTAGTGCGTGCAGTCTATGGAGTGCAGGAACTTCACTGAGGGAAGGTCATTTCCAGTTGGGTGGGTCGATGGAGCCAGATCGTAATGCTGGTGGACAACACTGTGTGTTGCGTTCCTGTATTTGCATTCCACGCAAAACCACACGGTCACTCCAACAAACAATCGTCAGGTTTCCTGTTGAAGAGGCACTACTGGCCCCCGTTGTAAGCGTAGTCTGCTTTGTTGTGCATGATGAGTTTGTTGTCCACAAAGTAGAAGCTGTCTGATCTAGTCTCATACGGGTGCTCAGTCATCAATCGAACTGCAGGAGACAAAGAAACGACACAGCAGAGAGCATTACACAGCACTTTAACAAATGAACACAGACATGTAACACGCTCTCCTCTATCTGAGCACTGGTAAGAGAGTGAGGTCTGAAATTTGATACAAGCCTGACAGGACGAGTGAGATGTCAGACAGAGTTAGGTCAATATGTTACTAGCAAGGCAATTGGTTACTCTTTTGTGCCAAATTTCCTCTCTCAGCATTTGAGGGGGGAAAAAAGTTTGGTATTAATTCAAGGTGGGTGCTAAAAAGTAGTTTTCTCAGATACAGTATACTTAAATTATTAGTGCTGTCAAACGATTAATCGCATCCAAAATAAGTTTTTTTTTTACATAGTATGTGTGTGTGCACCGTGTATATTTATTATGTATATATAACTACACACCCATGCATGTATATACTTAAGAAAAATATGTTACGTTTATATATTACATATATTTGTATATAATATAAATTATATGAATATAAATATATACACATGTAAATATTTTCAAAATATATACTGTATGTATGTCTATTTATATATACATAATAAATATACACAGTACACATAGATATATGTGAATAAAAACCTTTATTTTGGATGCGATTAATCGCAATTAATCGTTTGACAGCACTAAAAATAATATAAATTATAATAATACAAATAATACATTCCAATTATAAATCATGTTGTATTAATTATACAGTAATATTATATATTATACTGTCAAGCCTTCCTAATGTACACTGCAAAAATCAATGATTTTCTTACACAGTACATTTGTCTTTTTTATACAATAAAAAGATCTAAAAAAAAAACACTTCAATATATATTTACTTGAGAAGCAAAATGATTTAAAATATTAAATCATATTAAGTCTTGTTTTTTTTTTAAAAAAGTCAAAATTAAGTGAGTTCCTACTTGGAAATAGTGTTGTTTTTGGCGGCCTGTTTTAATTTTAGTTTTAGTCTAGTCTTTGTGTGAAATTTTCTTGACGAAAGCAACACTACTTGGAAACAAGAAAAATATTTGTCAATAGGGTAAGAAAAATTTACTTTTTCATTGGAATGAATTATTTTTATATATTTGTACTGGAAAGCAAGATAAAAATACTGAATAAGAAAATCATTTTAAATAAAGCAAAAGCAAAAAAAACAAAAAAAAAACAGAATGATTGGTTTAATAGCTAAAAGATATTTATAGACAGTTTTCTTTTTTTGTGTGTGTTGCTAACAATCTTGGCCAGTATGCTCTTGTAAAAGATTTTTAATCTCAATGTGCTTTTCCTGGTAAATGAAGTATACAGTAAGTTTAAAAATCTATAAAAAAATAAGTGAGTGACAAATATCTGTCAGTGGGGTAGCAAAAATAAACCTGTTAAAAATATCAATATTTTTGTTTTTGCACAGTGTTAAATTTACCTGCTAAATGTAATAAAATAAAAATAAAAGTAAAACAAAAATAAAGCAGCATGTTTGATTTAATAGCTTAAAGAACTGTTATAATCATTAAAAGACTATTTAGTTAGTTAAAAAAAGTAACCAGAACACTCACTGAGGTCACCTGGGAGCTGAGGAAACTCGTAAATATGTTCACACGTGTTCCGGCTGTTCGGGATACAGAAGCCAAAGTCAAAGTCGAAACTCTTCAGGAGGCGGTCTTGAAAATAATGCCTCTCAATCATTCTGAAATTGGTAACAGGTCGATCGCCAACTGTGAACTCCACCCTGAGAGAGTGTGAACGGAGAAAAGAGACGTTACTCTACATACCAAAAAACCATTCAGTTCAGTTGGTCTGTAACTAAACAAGAGCTTTTTGATGTTAGATAATAATAAATTAAAAAGACAATATGACAATCAACTACACAGACTGAAGTCTGCTCATGTTTACAGCCAAACTGAAGGAACTACTGAGGCCAAATCATGATTTATTCATGATTTCTGTGGGATTTGGCTAATAACATTGCTCAAGTGCTGCAGCAGATGACACAAGCTCCTTTGTTTCAAAACATGAGAGCTGGTCAACTGAATTTCAGACCCACCAAGGTTTGTTTACCCAGCAGAATGCACATGGCCGTGCTTGTTAGAGAAACTTACGTGGCTCCAACTGTGCGTAACTTAAGGAACGCAGGTGTGAACTGGTAACGAACAAAGCGCCCGGCACTGGTGTCAACCTCTCCGTTTTCCTCATCCTCCTCATCAAGGTCTGAAAGCAACAGTTTGAGAGATAATATAGGGTTATTATCATTAACTGAAACTAAAACCATTAAAAAATAAACATTAACTGAAAAAAAGGCCACATTTTTCATTTTTGTTTAGTTTAAGTACTACAATAACTAAAACCGAAAGAACTAAAGCTAAACACTCAAACTTTTAAAAAATATTTTAAAAAGACAAAACAAGAAATAAGACATTTGAATATGGCTCAGAGGATCAGAAAGGCAAATCTTGCATGCAGAGCAAAACCACAGCTATATATATTCACTATAGAAATTTCCATGAATATGACATGATAAAATTCCCTCATATATTAAGTTCCATGACAGTAGAAGCCTCTAATATCTTTAATTCAGTTGCGATGTAATGAAATCATTGGATTAGTTCAGCATACATCAGCATAGAAGATTGACATTCTAACTAATAATAATTATGACTTAAAATGGAAAAAAAAAGTAACATACATGGATAAATCGCTCACAATAAGATATATATATAAATGCTATAATATGCATTTACAAAATAGACCGGTTAATTTTCATTACATGAATTTAAGTGATTTTGTTGGACTGGGTGGTCTTTCCGTTTGCATTTCACATGCTAAAAGCAAATAAAGTTAGTCATCATAAAAGAACCATTGTGTGACATCATTTATTAGTTTAACTTGAAGACAAAGAAAGGAAAGGTACCACACTGTGGCGGTTTGGCAATCTCAAAAAGGACAGTCCCCGTCTCCAGGTCTCTGATCTTAAACCGTGTGAAGTCAATGTTGTAGATGTTGTCCTCTGGTTTACACAAATAGTCTGTGGAGGGAAAATGTATCATGTACTTAAATAATAGGAACATAGTATACAGTAGTTATACATCTCAGTAAGAGACTGGATTAAAGTAAACATAAGAAAGTTATGTAGCAATACTCTCAGACTGCTAAACATGATGCATGACCCAAAGTGCTTTGTTTGTTTGCTATGTTTAAAACAGACATGAAGACAAAATGCTCTCTGGAAGCTCATTAAAAATGTGTTGCATGGATTGGGCCTGCATAAAGTAAACAAACACATGAAGTCGATGGATGCTGTAACTCATAATGCGTGTACATTGCAAGCATCTGAGAAGTTGTGAGATGAAACAGGTATCATAGTGGAGTGTCAGAGCTGTTACCGCGAGTGACTGCGCGGAGTCCCAAAACTTCATCCGGAGTGATGTCTCTCCCCAGCGCCCGCAGCTCTTCCTCCGTTACAGGCCGTCGGTCCACTTGATTTCGTCGCGATTTCAGCCTTTTCAGAACACCGCCTCCGGGTTTGCGGTCTCGGGGAGCCGCTGCCGTTGAATCCGAGCCGTTAACCGCGGCAGCTGCCGTTTCGTTGCGGGCGCTCTGACTGTTCATCTCTCCGAGATCTCACTTGGTGTAGCGGCGGAGCGCGAACTGCGTTTCTGTTGAGCTCGACGCTCGCTGAATGCAAGATGGCGTAGCGCGTCACTATGGAGAACCTACGCCGACAGGATAGCGACGTGATTGGCTGAACGCGTTCGAAAGTTGCTATGGTTACCACAATTCCTGTTTACCAGAGCCGTTGAGAAAGAGAGTTGCGACACGCTTTGATCTCGCCGCCACGCGGTCACGTGGTTCATGGAGCTCTCAATAGTTCCCAAAAACTCCGCGCTGTCAATATGTTTGAATGGGTTTAAGCAGGATAGACAGCAGTTTCACTATATTTGCAGCAATTTCTAGTGATTATTAACACATCATGTACATGTATTGTGTATTGATAACTACGCTGACTACGTTTTACAATCGCATTTTATTCTGGGGAGTGATGAAGAGACAGCATTATTTTTTTTTCTAATATGCTTATTATTTATATTACAATTAGCGTACTATTTAGGGTTAAAATAGAGAAAATGTTTTTAAATTCCAGTGCAGAGGCAAATTAGAGACGTTTAGTGGCCAGAAAAATAATATTCCTATGTAATGCCATGGTTTAACCACCAAATATAGCATAACTGCCTATTATCTAAAACTAAACATTAACTATAATGCGTTTCATAAAATACTACTGGCCAGATTTCCGAGAGGTAAACTAATGCGTTAAAATGACAAATACTGCTGTAATTTCCTCAACTTTCTGGTGAGTGTGCTTGAGAAGCACTGAAATGAATGGGCTTCAAGACTAAAAACTGCAATTAAAAAAAAAAGGAAAAAGAAAATACTGGAACTATTGGTTGGTTGTTTGGAAATATTGGCTGCTTCGTCCTCCATAGCTCCATGACACGCTTCACTAAAAAAAAAAAAAATGACACGCTTTACTTCCGCATTCCTCAGTTCCTATGGAAGCCAATAGGAGTGTCGTAACTCTGTTTCTCAACCGCTCTGCTGTTTACAAAAGTCTCCCCATTAGCTTATGTCAGTTTATTTTCTTAATTAGTTAAACGGATTTATGTTTAGAAGGTCATTATTTATTCTGTATTAATATTATTTATACCCAGTGCAGTTATTTTTTACAATATTGTAATGTAATTTTATTTATTTAGAATCTTTTCATTTTGTGTTATAATGTTGAGTAATTTGGTTGTATTTCGAATGCCATCTTATTTTTAAATTTTTTTTGGTTGTCTTAATAAATATCAACAAACAAAACCAATTATGTATTTTTTCAATAATTTTGACTTTATATTTTCTACATTGCTGATAAATTGTTTGTATGTGTATATATATATATATATATATATAGGTACCGTACATGTATCTGCATACGAGTATGTATACAAGGAGTAAAAAAAACACACTAATTTTAAACGCCCTTCACCAGCACTATATCACTATATTATTCAAATAAAATAAAAAACATATCATATATATATATATATTAATAATACACATTATATATTAATAATACACATACACACACACACACATTTTACTTTCATAATATAGTGACTTATCAGGCATACACGTTAATTTATTTATATATTATTTATTTAATAATAACTATAAATCAATTCTATAATCTTGACCTGAACTATGATTGTTAACAGAATCTTATCAATGAAACAATGAAAAAGAGCTCATTAAAAATACCCTCAAGGCCAGTTAGATAAAATAGCACATTTATTAAAAAGAAACAGCATCAATTTGGTATGTATACAAGGAGTAAAAAAAACACTAATTTTAAACGCCCTTCACCAGCACTATATCACTATATTATTAAAATAAAATAAAAAACATATCATATATATATATATATATATTAATAACACATTATATATTAATAATACACACACACACACACATTTTACTTTCATAATATAGTGACTTATCAGGCATACACGTTAATTTATTTATATATTATTTATTTAATAATAACTATAAATCAATTCTATAATCTTGACCTGAACTATGATTGTTAACAGAATCTTATCAATGAAACAATGAAAAAGAGCTCATTAAAAATACCCTCAAGGCCAGTTAGATAAAATAGCACATTTATTAAAAAGAAACAGCATCAATTTGCAGTTCCCACTTCAGAAGCCTTCTCTCAAGACCGTGTGGGTGCTAACCGTTCCAATACTATTTCACCAGTTCCCATGTTCTCTACAGTTCTGAGGGAGGAGGTTCAAGAGGGGACAGGTAGTTGAACACGACTAACATTAACAGAGAAACTACATCCCGCGTAAACACAGCAGTTTATGTGGCATGGAGCAATACACATGAGCTCTTTATGAAGGAGGACACAACGAAAGGCCTCCATGTGGTCTTTGGCTATTGTCCAAGAAGTTGTGCATTTGTAGAGGACAAACTAAACTGTTTTTCAGATGACAAAACAATTAAACTCAATCATGCAATAAATCAACCTAAACGGTGGAAATAAAGATTCAAAGAGCACAAAATGATAAAGCACATGAGGATGTATTCAAATTTAAGGCAACAAGGAATCAAAAGTACACAATGCATAACAAAAAGAAAAAGAAAAAAATCACACCAACAAAAACAAAAAATGCTTTTAAAACAACACCAGGCAGTGCAATAATTCACACTAATAAAAGACTCATCATAAAAAAAAAATTAATTCAAAAGATCCTGAGGAAATAAAAAACAACTACTTCTGGAAAATAAAGTCTTTCAATATTTTTAATATTCAACCCATTTCCTTTTGCTTAAATTACACAACATAAAAAAACCCCAACTGTAAATTAACTAAACTTAATACGATCCGTGCTCTTTCTGACAATCGGTCAGTGTGTCTATGTGGCTGCAAATCAAATCACTGTCATTATCTAGACCACATCCACAACCTCCACTAGGCAAGATATTTAAAAACCCAGCCACCCCAATAGCAATAACAATTACACAAACAAAAATGAACAATATTCTAAAGAGAAAAATAACCATATGGCACAACAAACCAAGTACCTTATATACACATGCACCGTGTAAAAGAAAACGACTTTGGCGACAATAAGCAATCAACTTTCTGCAACTGAAAAAAGTGCCTCAATGTTTTTATGATTGTTTTCTACTTTAAAAAAACTAAAAAAATCAAGGCAAAACCTGCCCTCTCCAACTCCTTTTGAGAAGGTGAAGGCCAAGATAAGTTTCTAAGTTCACGCAAGGGACGGGGTCAAACTGACGTCTCACACGTCAGACAGCACAGTGGCATGAATACTCGATTGTGCTCTGATGTTTCAGCAGTGTGAGAGGTGGTCTCTTGATAGCACACTAAATCACATTAAGGCAGGCTTGCTTGAACGAAACAGAGAAGCAAATCAAAAACAAATAAAGAGGAAATGAGATGCAGAGGAAAAATACCAAGACAAAAGTATACCAGTTACAGAACATGCCAAGAAAAAGATGGATGAGGTGGAATGCAAATGTTCACTCGACTTATGCTACAACAAAAGCTAAACAACAGCACTGAAATTTGCCACCTTGAGTACAAAATTCATGCTTCTGCATCCATACTTCATGGTGTATGGCAGGCATGTATCTGTCAAACCGTTTCCCAACCAGGCTACAGCTTTCAATTCGCGTATTGTGTGTAACGCAAATCCAAGAATATTTGGTGGTATTGTTAAAAACGGCCTGTATGGTTAAACCAAGAGCAAATATGACAAAGAGCATCCCGACTGAGCAACTATCCTTCTCTACACCGTGTATTAGGTGCCTTTTGCGATGTAATTAAGACACCATATTTAAAAGATGCTATCCCAGACACATCATGTACCAATGAGAGAGAAATTAAGGGGATTTAACACTTTAGTCCAATACAATCTAGTTTCTGGGACTCAAAAGCCAGTGTATTAAAGACCCTCTTTGTTATGAACTCATGTTCCCACCTAAAGGGAAGCAAATATGCACTCTTTCAAAAATAAAAATGTTTTATTAAATACCGAACACATGCGGTTATTCAGAGACCAAAAAGTCCCTGTAAATGGGAAAAATAATAATTTATATCTACCTTGTGCAGTTCGAGATTCAAAGACATGGTGCTGTGGTCTGAAAATATGCAACTGAAGAATGAGAAAGCAGGTCACCAGACAATTTTGAATATTTATCCTTTTTAAATCAAAGAAAGAAATGAAGCCGCAGGAAATGAATGAGTGTGAGGGAAATAAAACGTGAGGTAAATAGAAACCAAGGTCTCAAATCACTTTATGATCTGCCACTGAGATTTAGATGCATTAACCAAATGATCAAAGAGTCAAATTCAGGTTCTGAAAATTCATGTACCATTTCTGCCTCCCACTAGAGGCCAAAAAACAGCAGATCAGCGCCACCGCTGATCAGAAAACACTCCTAGCCAATAACTTTCCATGAGTTGGGACACGTGATCTAGGAGTGTCTCCAGCTCCATCTCCTGCTAGACTAGACAAACCAGGTTTGTAAAGTGGTTAGTCCTGCTGCATATGTGTGTGCAAGTGCATTTAATCAGTACCTCTCAGGATCTCCTCAAACTAAAATTAGTATTAAACGTGTACGAACACAAGCACAAACACACACATAAAATGAACTTGCGCTCGAAATCCTTGTATTTTCCAAGTCACCCAGCAATATCTGAAACCTCCTTGTTTCTGCATGTCTCTCGTCCGCCTTTTGCTCTCTCTCTCTCTGTTGTAATGTCAGTCTATATTCTGCCTATCCCCACGGTTGTGCGTCCCTCGTTGCGCCCCTCCCCCCACCCCTTCACAGCCTGATGTCCGTCGCTTCTCCTCTCTCTCCCTCTCGTTCACTTGTTCCCCTCACAGGCGGCAGAGGCAGAAGAGGGTTGGGATGAAGACCCCGAACGCCACTAGAATAGGGAACATCAGGCTGCTGTTATCAGTGGCGTACGGGTTGGGGGTGCGCGGCCCAGACCGAACCAGATTCTTGGGAGAGGTGGAGGTGCTCTTTTTTTCGCTTTCTCCCCCCTCCCCCTCGTCCTCTTCCTCCTCCTCTTCCTCTCTCTTTTCCAGTCCAGGATGTGGCTGCAGTTTAGGCACATCTACAAACACACCAAAGGCTGTTACTTGGAAAAGTGCAAAAAAAATAAAATAAAAAAAGCAGGACTGGACTTGATCGAGGATGCAACCCAATCAATCC